AGGCCCGCGTACCGAAAAAAAAAAAAAAAAAAAAAAATCACTATTTTAATTTGATTTAAAAGCTCTCCTCTTAATAGAGTGATGTCTCATTTTTGGTTTCAAAGAATTAGTTAATAAATCTATCAACACTTCATAATTTCATAGGCAATCATATCTCCCTTTTCAACCTTTAATTTAAAAAAGTTTATTTAATTTCCATTTATTCATCAGAACCCAATTCAAAAATCCTTTCCTCAAGCCTTCCCTTACCAAAGAGCCCCTCTCTCTCCCAAGAGAAGTCCCTTGCTAATTGTACTCAAAACTCTGTACTCTTCTTTTGTAGCACTATTCCACATCTTGAATTATTTATTTGTGGTCAACTGATTGACATATTAAAAACTCTAATCGGTCAAAGTCTGTCTTCTTTAACTTACCATGTATTTCATCAGTCAGTACTCGAATACTTGTTGAATGAATAAATTTCTCTCTGAATTGGGCTCTTACCTTGTTTCTCTCATCCATTTGGAAGGCAGGAAGTTCCCAACTGATATACCACTAGCCTCAATCCCAAACTTTTCCAGTTTTATGGCTATAGACTATCAATCTTTAAAATCAATGAAATTTGAGACCCATCCTATCCTTCTCCCCCAACCACAAAATATGCACCCCTAATTTCCCAGGCAACTTCCCCTGAGAAGCTGCATATCTTCTTGGTATGGCAGGCTTTTAACCTTGCAGTTATTACAGAATAAGTGTAAATGTGTTAAGCACCTACTATGTGACAAGGCCCTGCGTACTCCACCTTGGTTCTATGTATTCCATCACCATAACCAACCAGTGGTCCTTCACATCGGGCTTCAGAGACTGCCCATCTTCCTTTCTGTTTGCCTAGCCACAGAATCCAGGTCCTCTGACATCTCCCCTAGTCTTTTTGCCCCACAGCACATCAACCTCAAACCCAACTTAGCTTTGGATGACAGTTTTCCCATCAACATAGTGTAAGAGGAATGCACATCTACACACATCAGAATCAGAGAGATCTGGGTTTGAATACCAGCTATGTTGAAGCTTTCTTAGAATGATTTTACATGCATAAAATAAAATATGTAGGATTACAAAGGAAACCAATGAACTGTACCCAGGTCAAAAAGCTAAGCTCTTTGAATCTTGTATTCTGGTAGCTTCAAAATGAAAATACTAAGACCCACCCTTCACTGAATTGTTAGGTAGATTTTAAAGGCAATTTATGTTAAGTATCTGGCAAGGAGACTAGGTAGGTTTTTTTTTTTGCAGTACGCAGGCCTCTCACTGTTGTGGCCTCTCCCATTGTGGAGCACAGGCTCTGGACGCGCAGGCTTCAGCGGCCATGGCTCACAGGCCCAGCTGCTCCGCGGCATGTGGGATCTTCCCAGACCGGGGCACGAACCCGTGTCCCCTGCATCGGCAGGCGGACTCTCAACCACTGCGCCACCAGGGAAGCCCGAGACTAGGTAGTTTTAAGACCTCCGTGGTAATTCAAATCTTAATTTATCAGAGTATCACTTCTTCAGTTAGGAATGGGAGGAGGAAGACTTCAATATGATTATCTAACATCTACTCAGAAAAAAAGTAATCTAAGATCTTAAGTGGCTTCCCAAAACGTATGCAATATCACAGTTCTTATCATATCTATAAGCTATCTATAAAGCTTATGATCAACCCTAAACCAAATTTTAGACAAGGTGCCTCTTTATATCTCAATTATTTTAATATAAATTTATTTATTTATTTATTATTTATTTTTGGCTACATTGGGTCTTCATTGCTGCACATAGGCTTTCTCTAGTTGCAGCGAGCAGGTGCTACTCTTTGTTGCGGTGCACGGTCTTCTCACTGTGGTGGCTTCTCTTGTTGCGGAGCACGGGCTCTAGGCATGCGGGCTTCAGGAGTTGTGGCACATGGGCTCAGTACTTGTGGCTCACAGGCTCTACAGTGAAGGCTCAGTAGTTGTGGCGCACAGGCTACGTTGCTCTGCGGCATGTGGGATCTTCCCGGACCAGGGCTCGAACCCGTGTCCCCTGCATTGGTAGGCGGATTCTTAACTGCGCCACCAGGGAAGTCCCTATATCTCAATTTTTGAGTAATCTGAAAATTAAGTTTAGTTCTTTAAAAATAAATAAATTTACTTTTTTAAAAATAAATAATAATACTTTGAAGTATTAGGTTGTGTTGGTCAAAACTTCACATTTAAAAAGATGACTTTTAAGGGGCTTCCCTGGTGGCGCAGTGATTGAGAGTCCGTCTGCCGATGCAGGGGACACGGGTTCGTGCCCCAGTCCGGGAGGATCCCACATGCCGCGGAGCGGCTGGGCCCGTGAGCCATGGCCGCTAAGCCTGCGCGTCCGGAGCCTGTGCTCCGCAGCGGAAGAGGCTGCAGCTGTGGGAGGCCCACGTACCGCAAAAAAAAAAAAAAGATGACTTTTGAAAAAATATAATAAAACCAACAAGTTGTGAGCTTTCTTAAACATTCTTTAAAAAGTTTCCTGTTTATCATAACTACATATCTTTCATTTGTGCCTTGAGGTCTGAAGTTCTATATATAAGGACACACACTCCCCGCACCAAAAGCCTCTTTTACAGAAATTTCTATTTAAGAAAAACAACGGTAAGAATTCAAATTCAGGGGGAACTAATGTGATTTGACCAAGCTCCTGCAAAGTGACAGATACGACTAGTTCTCATTCTAAATGGTGTTCTTTCCTCCACAATCCCTTGGTCCACAAAGGAGATGTTATCTGTGCTGTCTGACTCCAAAGGCCAGAAAAAGGCCTATTAATTACAACTTACTACCTATAATTCCCAAATTTCCTATTTAAAAAATAGGGCATTTTGTAAATACGTGCCTATTAGCTTATAAAATTTCTTGACCAGATGTTGGATATTTCAAGTTAATTATTTCAAGCTGTTCTTCCCAGAAAGATAAATCTCTTTCCTTTAAGATATATGAATTAATATTATCTAATCAAGCTAATCTCAAAACCTCCACTTTTAGTATACACTAATCTTACCTAACTATATGATTTTGAAAACTATCAGAATGGCCAAGTAAAATGTTTCCAAGTTTAAAAGTAGGCACTTACACAGTGGCATGGTTTTTAATCACAAAGTTTTTAATGACATACCTACTCTATGCCCAGTACTGCGGTACAGAATATCACTTATTTCACTGCTTCACAAATTAGGAATTAATTCATTATGCTTCTATTTATGTCTTCTTACACCTAGACTCTTATCTAAAATCCCAGAGTCTAGCATTCAATTATAGGGGTAAACACTTTTTATTATTACACTGTGCTAAGTTTCTCATTTTACATGCGTTGACTGTCAACAGAATCCACCAACATTCAAGTTTCAACTGTATGCAAGGATGAAAAAACTAGGCATTGATTGGTCAAGGTATCCAATTGCCAAAAAGGGCTTTAACAGCAGCAAATGGTACATATAGTTGGCAAGTACTACTCATCTGCTAAGGACTTCCCAAAGAACTAAGAAGGGGGAGAAGACTCAAGGAAAAAGTAGGTTCAAAGCAAGGAAAAGACTTAGACAAACAAGTTGGGGAAGGAGGGCATTCCCAGCATGCGTAGAACAAAGCCAGTTAAGAAGCAATCTGCCTCACACTCAAGTAGACAGAGTAGCATAAAAATAAGGTTAAAGAAGTCCTTATAATCACACCTAATTAAGATCTGTTGTTATCCAAGTTAAAGAGAATGCCAATGCTCCATCGGAAGATAAGTTCTGAACTGCTTTTCTATATACGAGTAATAATTTTATGATTCCTTCATCTGTTCAAATATTTTAGCAAAAACTACATGCCAAGCAATGTTCTCAGTGCTGGGGATACTGAACCCAGCAAAATAGAGTTGTTCTAACCTCACTCTATCTGAATATTAAAGCCTAGTGTTTAAGGTCTGGGGACAAACTTGGGCAAGTTATTTAACTTGTTTAAGCCTCAATTTCTAACACTAAAAAATGTGGTTTACGATCTAGGATTTTTGTGAGGATTAAATCAAAGTATTTACTGCATGATAAGTATCTATTATGTCTTCACCTAACTTCTTTGTAATCAACTACTAAACATTGTATCTGAATTAGTGACTTTGTTACAAAGTCTTTCTCTAGATGAAACAAATCTATTATGTCTTCACCTAACTCCTCTGTAATCAACTACTAAACATTGTATCTGAGTAAGTGACTTTGTTACAAAGTCTTTCTCTAGATGAAACAAAGTTAACAAGCCTTGGTCTCATTCATTTCAACCTCAACTAAGGAAGCAAGTCAGTCTAGACAGACTTGTACTTCTATCAGTACTAAAACAGTTGCACACTACTTGAATTTCATTCATTCATATTCATTGCAGCCCCCCCCAACCCACTCCCAAAAACTCAATATCCCTAAGCCCAGGTCTTAGGCATTGTCTTAGTTACTCAGTTCCTGCCTGCATCTGGCCAAACACAATAGGTTTCAATGTTTCAAAAACTGTGTTTTTGCTAACACAACATATCCTTAAACTTACACCAATTACTTTATCTGCTACTCAATTAAGGAATGCAGCAATAAATCATGATTCAAAAAGAGAAACTGAGTAGACTTCTTACATGAGGGCTGAGTTGTGAAGTCTGTAGGTAAAGCAAAAAATCCACTATAGTCAAAATTGCTTTTGAATTAAAATCCCTGTCATCTCCAGGTTAGGCACCTTAGTGCAGTGAAGACACACATAGCCAAACTTGGATTCCAATGCTCCCTCTGTCACTTAGTAGCTAACTATGCAAGTCTGGACAAGATTTCCTTTCCTAAATCTATTTCTTTATTCTGAAAATGAAGATACCACCACCACTTCAAAGGCTGGGGGTGGGGGAGATGTGGAGATTTAAAAGAACACACATAAAGGACCTCCTAGGTTCCCTTCCTAACCCAACAGGTCTGCAATCACTGCTGAGTAAGGAAACACCTAGTCTCTCATCATCTGCCAAAGAACTAAAGACTGTAAGGATTAATCTTGTTTCCACTCAAATCGGGTAAAAACAAATGCACTAGAGAAAATTTTACTTGGCAGGTGAAATGAACCGCCACAACTATGACTGAAATCTACTACACAAAGCCCATTTTATTGAGAAAGATGATTAGCCTAAGCAAATAGGCTGTACCACATTACCTTCTTTCTGTAAACATCAAAACGCACCTTGCTAGGAGTGAAACCAAATTTCACAGTGTACGACAGGAGTCCTCTGGTGGCAGAGCCTTTGATCAGGGAGCACGATGATTAAGAAGGTGGGCTCAAGGGTCAAAACTTTCTGGGTCAGAACACAGGTTATGCCAATTCCTTGAACAGTGTTTCAGCAATCAACACATATTCAACTGCCAATGCGAAAACTTGCTTCCCTTATTTGAGCAGTTTTCAAGAAAAAGCAAAGATAATGACCAAGTGAAGATACTGAAACATATCCGTTACCCAGGATGGAAAGCTCTTCTGTTCTGACAAGCTTCCTTCAAGTTATCACCACTTCGGAGTCTTTGTTGGGGACCTTTTTTCAGTTATTTTTGCACAAAGGAGTCTTTGTTGGTACAATGGCTTCCTCACTGGTAGTTTCCACACAATCCTTTCACACCAATACTTCTATTAGGGAGTACGATCAGAATTCATCTCTTTTTGAAAAGATCTAACTGAAAAAGGTTCTGCGTGCCATTCTGATTAAAAATCACCGGCCGCACTCGTTCCCATTTCTCTCCCTCCCCTCAAACACCCAAATGGAATATTTCAAAGCCATCCCTCCAACACACCATATAAGGGGCAGCTCCACCCCAGCCCTCCATATATGGTCATATCCCACACCCACTCACAGACTCATCAGAGACAACCAGGAACCCACTCCTGCCCTGACCCACCATATACGGACAAATACCCACCTTAATATACTGAAGAGAATTAAGCTCCTTCCTCTACACTCACACTTCTAAGTCTGAAAGTTTAAGAAGTTGGGTGAAGAAATTAGAAGGAACAAACAAAAAACCCGACTGAAAGCACTTCTAAGCACTAGTGCTCAATTCTCAATGATTCCTAACGTCACCCACTTGCCCAACTTAATATTAACAACACTCCCCCTTCGGAGAAATCATCGTACAGCCCTGATAAGGCACAGCGCGTGCAATAACTAATCATGTCTGAGCAACCCTAAGCCCATTATTAAACACGGGCAACTCTAGGCCAAACACACCTCGCTCTACACACCATTTCAAAGACTTTCAAGGTCTACTTTTCTGCACCTTCAGATCAGATGCCAACTTTCTGGTCGCCTTTTCAGAAAAAGGGAGGGAGGGTTGCTGGCTGTCTCGTTACCAAGGTAACTAGGAAACGTCCGACTGCCGAGGCCCGGGAGCCGGTTTTACCTTCAGATCCTTCTTAGTAACGTCGGTGTGGGAGACGGCTCGAATGGTCCCGGAGAGCCAGGGCCACTCGGCGACGCGCTCCAAGTCCCAGCTGTCGTGGCCGCCGTCGCTGCCGTCGGCTGCGGACAGACTGAGGAATCGCTTCCCTACCAATACTGGCCAACTTTCTCCGAGCGTGAGCACCATGGTTCCAACGCTGCAGTAAGGGCTCCTCCCTGCAAAAACACAAAAACAAAATGCAACGGGGGCGGCCGGCGGGAGGGGGCCGGGAAGAGAGGTCGGTGGGGGAGGCCAGGGCGGAGGAAAGGGTCCTAATCCCGATCGGAGGAGGGGACCCCAGGCGGCGGCGGGTGAGACGGAGGACCCGCACCCGATCTCTCCACCCGCGCCCTTCCCGCCCCCCGATCCCTCCCCCACCGCAAACACTGGCCCAAGCGTCGCGTGACCCTGGCTCTCCCAAGTTTCGCTTTTCCAAAACCTGAAACCTAAATGCAGACAGAGTGAGGGGAGAATTATCTGTGGCTTAAGTGGATTTGAAAGTGTTCGCCCCTCACCCCGGAAAAGAAAAGGCCCCGAAGCAGAGGCCCCGTCCCAGGCGGCCGGGTCCCCGCCCCGGGCAGCCCCGCGGGAGGGGCGAGCCCGCCGTTCCGCACTTGCCCCGCCGCCCCGCCCCGACACCCTTCTACTCGGCCGCAGACCCCCAGCCTGCGCCGCGGCGCGGGGGCGGCGGGGCCGCGGGCTTGGCGCCTTCACCTTTCTTCCTCCGATCCCTTCAGCCGAGGCCGTGGCGCTCTTACCCCGCCTCCCGCCTCCCGCCTCCCGCCTCCCTGAGTCACCGGCAGCGGCCACCGTTTCCAGCCGCCCAGCCGACTCTAGCTCTCCGACTTGGTTCAAGAGCTCTCACAAGACACGCACAGCCTCCCGGGCCCGCCCCCTCGGAGCCGCTTCCATCGCTCATTGGCTGGGTCCAAGGAGCTGGGCGAGACTCGTGGGGAAGGAGCCCATCGCCATTGGCCGCCCCGGCGAGGGCGGGGCGAGAGAAAAAAACAATTCCTCGGCTGCCTCCTCCCTTTCCCCTCCCCCTTCCGACTCCCGGACGACCCCCATTAGGTTAAAGTACACCGAGCGTAAGCGAGGGATCCCTCCGCCACAGCCATTCTTTCCATTTGTTGCCTCACGGGATGCAAAAAAGTCCAGAGAAATCGGTCATCAACTTTAGGACCCAGAGGAAAATTGCAGTGGTGCACAGATAAGACTGAATGGCGAACGCCAGGGCTGTAAGTGCTTATTGGATTGCTTTTCAAGTGCGTAGGCTGTCGACCGAAGATAGGCTTTTCACTTGGCGGAAGAATCTCACAGGAAAGGGGTGAGGGCGGTGCAGAGTCGGCGGGGGAGGGAAAGGACATGAACGTGCGGTTTGAAGCGTACTCAGTTAGAGGGAGGAGCGACGGTGCTCTAGAGACTCGTGCGCAGGCGCTTCGCGGAGGAGAGGCTGGAGCTTGGGCTGCTGGGCGAAATGGCCGCGGGAGGCGCAGGCGCACGTGGTGCTGATCATGGAACGTCTAAAGTCCGCCATTTTGAAGGAAAAATGAAGAAAGGCATGGAGTCCCTGGGAAATGACGTTAATTAAATCCAAAGCAAAAGATGTAGTTCAGTACAATGCAGAATGGGTATTTTTCTTTTTGTTTTTCAATGTAAAGGGAGGATGAAAAGATATTCTGAGTCTTACAATGAAATGGAAAGACTAGATCAAGGTCATAATGATGTAAGAGATATGAAGAGGAGGTGACTTTGAAGGACAAAGGAGCTGAGGGGTGATTGTGTCTTTTGGACCTGAAGTTTTTTGGTTGAATGAAGAAAAAACGGAATGAAGTAATTGAAGATCTCTTATTTTATAAAGGCTGGTGTTTGACCTGGCATCACATTTAATCTTTAAATGAAGATTAAGTGAAGAACTCAAGCTCCCAATTTTACAAGTGTGAAAACTGAGAATCCGAAAAAGTTCAGAAATGTATTCAAGGAATTATAGATAGAAGTTAAATCCAGGTGTTGATTTTCAACATATATGTTCTGAATACATGACATTAAATAAAAATTTTAATTAAGAATAAACACTGAAGAATTAATTTGATTTGTAATTTACAGACCATTGAAAAGGGGGAAAATGGAACAGAGAAAACTTCTCCAGTACAACATAAGTCAGAATGGGAAAAAGGGAGGAATAAAAAAAAGAAAAAAAAAAAAAAAACCTAAGCAGAAATACGGTAAATACAAAAATAAAATAAAATTAAATTAAAGGAGTAAGTCTAAATATCAGTATTTACAATAAATATAAGTGGGTTAATTTACTCAGACCTTAAAAAGACACACTGGATTAAAAATAAAATCCATCTATAAACTGACCACCAGCAAACTCCAACAACAACACAGAAAGCTTGAAAATAGGGGTTAAAAGAGTTTGTAATCTAATGGTAATTGAAGGAAAGCGACATAGCAATGTTAATATAATTGAAAGCAAAGGCATCAAAGAGAAAAGGATTTTATACTAATAAAGGATAAAGTCCACAAAGGTAACACACACCCTTGAACTATTGTGACTCTGGGAACATATTCTAGCCTATGCTAAGACTAAACTTATGAGAAATTTTTGACAATTTGTAATAAGAGTACAGTGAAGATATTTATAAATACATCTACCCCAGAAATAGGCATCTCAGATTTTTAAAATAAGTGAGGGTATGGAGGATCTAGATTACATAATTAACTATTAATGTGAAAAACAATAGCTGGGAACAAGTTCTATCAAACTTCAAATAACATATAATTCCTAGGTTACATTCATGGTTCCAGAACTTAAGAAAGATGGAAAGGTATCCAATGCATCTTATAAAACTTGCAAACCCCTATTATCCAATCTGAACCAGTAGAGTACAAGAAAGGAAAACGATAGTTCAATCACACTTATGAACAGAGATAGAAAATTCTTATATAAAACATCAGCAAGTTAAACCCAGCAACATATTTTTAAAATAATCACCGTGATTAATTAGGATTATTATATGAATATGAGGATATTTCAAGATTAGAAAATTACTATAACTCACCACAACAGGTTAAAAGAGAAAAATTGTGTTCCTTTTAGTAGAGGCTGAAAAGAACACACACTCACAATGAACACTGAACTACCATGAAAACTAGGAATATTAAGAGCACACACATATTTAATGCTTATTCATGATTAAAAAATAATTTTAAACTTCCTACAAACCTAGGAATATAAGACACCCACCTTAGAAAAACACCTTCAAATATGAACTAGGAGACATCGACAAGGTTGTTCATTTCAGCATTGTTTGTGGCTGTGAAAAATTAGAAATAATCGAAATGTGCTTCAATTAAATAAATAAATGAAATGTGACACATATAGTGAAAAGCTGTAGAGCATTTGAAAGGGAATGAAGTATATTTAGATGTACAAATAACGATAGATTAGCAAAACACATTTTGAATGAAAAAGAAAGTTGCATTTGGCAATATTTGAAAATACACACACACAAATTACACTATATATGTTCTATGAAATATATATATTGAGACTCATAATGATGGTTACTAGTATTGGAGGGTGCACACCAGTATTGGGGGTGTTGGTCAAAGGTGATTTAACATTGTTTGTAATTCATTTTTATAAGGCAAAAGTATTCGTGTTACTTTTGAAATTTAAAGCTATATTTTAAATCCTATGAATGTAGTTTACTACATTAACACTCAAGAGTATTCATGACAAATTATTAGAACTTATACAAGCATCGAGAAGGTGATGCAATAAAAAATCAACAAAAAAAGATCAAAAGAATTCCTATTCCTCAACAAGCATCAATTACAACAGAAAACAGAAAAAAAGAAACCATTTGTGATTATGAAACTACAGAATACCTTGGAAAAAAACATAACATGAAATGAACAAAACCTGTATGAAGAAAGCCGTAGAACTTTACCAATGGAAAGATATCCATAAAATATATGCATAAAAGAAGATTTGAAAAATTCCATTTCCTTATGTTACTTGATAAAGATGTCATTTCTCCTCAACTTAAACTACTTTCAAATTACATTTCTTTCAGTGAATGAAAGAAGCAAACTAGAAATACAGTAAGTCCCCTACATACAAACAAGTTCCATTCCAAGAGTGCATTCGTAAGTCCAATTTGTTTGTAAGTCCAACAAAGTTAGCCTAGGTACCCAACTAACACAATTGGCTATATAGTACTGCACTGTAATAGGTTTATAATACTTTTCATGCAAATAATACATAAAAAACAAACAAAAAAATAAAACATTTTTAATATTAACAGTACAGTACCTTGAAGAGTACAGTAGTACAGTACAACAGCTGGCATACAGGGGCTGGCATCGAGTGAACAGGCAAGAAGAGTTACTGACTGGAGGAGGGAGGGGAGGTGGGAGGTGGCAGAGCTGAAGGATCATCAGCGATAGGAGACGGAGGGGAAGCTGCCATTTCAGTCACGCCTGACGCTGATGGCACAGGTTCTGGTTCCTTGCTGGATTCAAT